TCTACAAGCAGCCCTTTGAACTCTCATTGGCTCTCTTCACAACCTCTCATCTAGGTGTCAAAAATCCCAAGTGTACTTATCACCTGGTCCAGGACTTCCAGAAGAACAACCAGGCAAGGGTTCCCACCTTCCCTGTGGTTGTTAACCCATACACACTCCATCACCCATGCCCTCCTCTGCTGCCATCTCTTCTGTCTTTGATCTTGAAGATGCCTTCTTTACTATCCCTCTGCACCCATCTTCCCAAGACCCCTTTGCTTTCACGTGGAGGACATAGACACCCTGCCTGCCCAGCAGCTCACCTGCATGGTTTTGCTCCAGGGATTCTAAGGCAGCCCCTACTGCTTTGACAATGTCTTACAAAAGGACCTCACCAACCTAGCCTGGTCCCCTCATCTCCTTCTCCAGTATGCAGATAATCTCCTCTTATACAGCCCTTCTCTTCAGACCTACCTCCAGCTCTCCAGGACTCTTCTTTGCTGGCCTCTTGTGTCTATATGATTTCCAGACACAAGTCCCAGATCTGCCAGCCATCAGTCACCTGTCTGGGTCTGTCAGTCTCATAAGAGGAAGAAGTTTACCCAGAGCCAGGTTAGAGGAACTCCTTGATTTCCCAAACCCACAAACCATATGTGAGCTGCTTGTGTTACCAGGCCTCTTTAAATCCTCTGCATATGGGTCCTTAACATTTCCCTTGCTGCTCAGCTTCTTCATTATGCCACAAAGCGGCCCCTAGAGGAGTCTCTCTCCCCTTCAATCCCTCCTTTCCCCATAAACATACTTCAGTCTATTCCCTGGATTCTACACTAGCCTTTCTGGACCCATGCAAGCCCTTCTATCTCTTTTCACATGCTAACCAAGGATGAGCCCTCAAAATACTTTGTCAAAAGTTGAGAGGGGACACGTATCCAATGGACTATGTCTCTAAACAACTAGACATAGTCAGCATAGGTTGGCCACTTTGCCCCTAGACCATGGCCTCAATGGCACTGCTTTTCCCGAAGGGCGAAAAAAGTCTCAGTTCACAGTCCCCTGCACATCCTCACTACACTCACTCAAGGTCCTCATCAACCACTGAGATTTCCCGACTCTCCCTCCATCCAGAGTACAGCTTCTCCAGACTTACTAATATCTAACTTACTAACATCACAGCCTCATATTGGAGCCATGCCCGCTCTCAACCCCACACCACCTCTCCATAACCCCCCACATCCTCTGATCTCCTTCACTCTTGCTTTGAGACACTTGACCTCCTTCCAACCCTTTTGCCCATGTATTTGATCACCCCCTGAAGAAGCCCCAGGTTGTTGACAGATGGGCACAGCCTAAAACAGACCCTTCCACAGCAGGATGTGCTGTACTTCAAGGGAACCCTGCTGTGGAGGGGTCCAGCTGCAGCAGGCTCCCAGGAGGTCAGAGAAACTCCAGAGAGGACATGGATGGGCAAACCATTGCACTGACACACCCGCACACAGTGACTTTATCTGAGGGCCAAAGCTCAGTTCCTCCTGTTGTTTCCCTCTGTTGGCCTTTCTTCCTACTCTGTGTTCTTTTCTTCCTGTTCTTTCCCCTGCTGTTTCCCTTTTCTTATTCTTCACAGTTGTTCCCCTTCTACTTCTTTCAGATGTTTTTCCTGTTACCTCTTCCCGGATGGTCCCTTTACATCTTTCCTCATTCTTCCTCCTTCTATTTTTATTTTTCTCTTATTCCTGTTACACACCTCCTAAGACAAAACTCCCCCCCCCAACTTGTATGCAAGAAGAGGGCATCAGACCTATTATAGATGGTTATGAGGCACCATGGGCTTGCTAGGAATTGAACTCAGGACCTCTGGAAGAGGAGCCAGTGCTCTCAACTGCTGAGCCATCTCTCCAGCCCCCTAAGACAAAAATTTCTATGAAAGAAAAGGCTACTTCATAAGTATAAGTTACATATTTTTCAAAAAAAATTAAAATGTTACATAGGAAGAAATTACATTATTATCATAAGTTAACTGTTTTTCTTAGAAGCCCACAAGTAGTTAAACATTTTAATTTATATTAATTTTCCCACCCTAACATCTTCACCCCAAAGAGGTGATTCTTTTATTACTGGTTGACAAAGGTTTAAGCAAGCTAAGTGTTTTTCAGTCAGTTCCTTTTGTACTGGCAGGCTGGTGTTTGTGTTTTTGTTTTCCGGGTTCTTTTCTTTTTTTTCTTCCGGGGCCCTTTTAAGGGGTTGTTCGGTTACCCTTTTTTTTTTTTTTCCCCCATTGGGTCCTTTTATTTTCTTTTTCCACTTTTGTTTTTCCAGGTTGATTCTTGGGGCTTTTGTTTATTCTTTTAATTTCCTTGCTTAGGAACTTCGGTTTTACCTTTGGTTTCGGGGCCTTGTTTTTTTCTTTGATTATCAGCCTGTTTTTCCACAGGCAGAATTCATGGGTCTAGAATACACAAAACTTCCTTGTTCTCATTTTAAATCCTCTTCAGCTCTCACATCTAATGAAGAGAAAGGTAACTTTTAGTATAAAATAAAGTTTTTTTTAAATCTTTTATTGAAGCAATTGGCCAAATAACCTAAACCACTTCCCTAATCATCTTCCCTGTCTTAACCATCGATAGGTTTTAGGCTAACCCAGAAAGCCCAATTAAATCATTGACCTAATCATCATCGCTCTTATGAAAATCATCCTCATTGTGATCTGCAGGTAAATGTCCAGTGAGCAGTGGGGTTTCATCACAGCATGCCAAATGCAGCAGGCACATGGCTGCAGCAGGCAGAAGCAGGGGGCATTCTGGGAACAATCTCTCTCTCCCTTCCCAGCTTCCTCCTCAGAGCCCAGGGCTTTGCCTCTCCAGGGCTCAGCTTTGCTATTCTTTATGGATGGAGCTACAGCCTAATGCATCTTGACTCAGTTCCTTGTGACCTGAGTCTCTTACTCTAAATATCCCAACTCTGGTAGGGTGAAAAAAATGGTGGAGAGGATTTGTCCTTTGGAGATCATGCTGGGGGTCCCAAAGGTGGAATGAGCATGTTGAAGATGCAGAAGGGTCTTTCCAGAAAGTGTTGTCTGCCTTCCTCTGTGTTTGATCTTTCTAATTGCCTAGCATTTCTCTTTACTAGGCAGGGTTGATTAGCATCAAGTAGCACTCTGCCTACAAAGGCTAGCCTTAAAAAAAAAAAAAATAATAGCCTGTCAGTGGGGGAGGAAGGTGAGCAACTTCAGAGATAGAAGATCAGAGTCTGATTACAATAGGGAATATAGGTAAATCAGGATATCAACCATCAGAGGGGCAGGGCTTGTGGGGAAGGAGTGTGTCGGCTTATTAAGAGTCGATTAAAGGAGCCAGAAAAGGCAGAAACAGAGAGACAAGCCAGACCTTCACACAGGACCATTTATTTATACTGGCAGAAGCATAGTGAGGGGGTTATCTCAGATCTTGCTCACATGGATGGATGGGCCATATATCCCATGCCATGTTGGTATATGAGCAAATGTCTACTCCATGAGGGTGGACAAGAAAAAAATTCCACAGGAAGAAACTGACTTCAACCTTTATGGGGGCAGAAATGACTTCTATAGTCCAGAAGCTGAGACTTTCAGTAGGAAACTATCCAAGTGTCTTGTGTGTGGTCAGCTGTGGGGAAGGAGTGTCTTGAGTGTACAATGTTGGCCCTGGAGATGGTGTTTGTGTTGTTAGAGCAGAGTTAGGATAAGACAGGACAGTTTGTTGGGCCTTATGGACAGCCTGGAATTTTGAGAAGAGAGATGAATCATTTGTCTTTTTGATGTCCCCTTGGTGGAGAATGTTGTCATGGGAAGGTGAACTCCTTGATTTTGATATCCAAAGGGAGTTCATAATTGATGAACATCAACATAATTGATGAACCAGAATGACTGTTCAGCTCCACCTGCAGAAACAACATGACTGGGTAGTGAAGACAACTCACCTGCTCCCAATCAGACCACAAACACAACTGCATTTTTCTGGTACACACACACACACACACACACACACACACACACACACACACACATGCCCCCCAGCTTCTATAATTGTGCTCAATCTCATGCCATGGTAAGAGTGGGTCCCTTACTATTCCAATAAAGCACTCTCAGCTTGCTGCTATCTAGTCTACCTCTTCTCTGCCCCACTTTTCCTACAGAGACAATGTGCTCTTCTATCCTCTTCCCAAAGAGTCACTGTCCATTGTCTGCAGTATCACAACTCTCACCTCAAAGGGGTTAAGAGTTTACTATAGAAACAAAATGAGTGACCATGACCCAGGAACAAGATTTACATTACCCCAAATTCCAAGGTGGTAGTGGAGTCTTTATAGTCACAGAACAAAGGAAGCCATACATAAAGACACTTCAAGCACTTTGGTGAAAACATCAGAGAGGGGTTACAGCAAAATGGGGGGACCTTGGTGACAAGGGTCAGATGGTACCTGATGATGCTCTTAGCCCTTGGGTTTGTGGGAGCTTTCTGTCTGTTAATATATTCCAAGGAAAGCTAGTCTTCTGAGTTACCTGATGGTCATAAAGGTCAGGGACAGAGAAGAGCAATAAACAGGTATTGAGAGGGCTAAAGATGGAGGGCTGGAGAGGTGGCTCAGTTAGGTCGAGGAGATCTGATGCCCTCTTTGACCTCCATGAGTACCAGGCACGTACAAGGTGCACATACATATATGCCCAGAAAAACTAATGTACATAAGGTAAAATAAAGAGGGTTAAAGATGGCTCTGAACTTACAGGTTTTCAAACCCTCTATGGTCACTGTCTGCTAGGCAGTCAACGATGTAGAAGGTTCTGTGGAAGTTGCTGTTACTTTCCAGAAACTTCCATTCTCACAAGGCCTGAAAAGGACTGGCAATTACATTTCCCACTTTTGCAGTTCTTTTGCTTTTAGGTTGATTTCTGCAGGACAGTGAAACACCCCCTGACATCCCACCTTGGCAGAAGAGAAAACTGTGTGAAGTTGCTGTAATTCAAAAGCATTTTGTACTAACAAAATCTATAACATTTTTCAGTTCTGTTTATTTACTTTCCGGTACACCACATTTCCTGTCACATATTACTAACTCTCTTTCTCCCAGAAGCAGATTTTATTTGCTGAGAGGGTGGATATATTCAGGATTGATGAATCAGGCAACAAAAAAAAAAAATCAGTGACGAGTTGGGCGGAGCCTCGAAGTCAGGTAACCGGTTTGAACGCCGACCGGAACAACTTTGGTTTGCAAACATCCTCATTCATTCCAGGTTTGCTTCAGCAGGAAGACACACGTGAAGAAAAGCCTCCATGAGAACGTTACCTGCAGAGTCCTTCTTGCCAGCTGGCGTGGGAGAAAATTGTATGTATTTAATGAATTAAGTTTAAGGGAGAGAGGAAGCTTCCCTAGGGGAGCGGAATCTCCCTGTGTTAGCCTGCAGCAGGTGTCCTTAGAGGCTGGGAAGCCGGGGTCGGGTGGAGAGCTCTAGGGTGGGTAGGAAGCACCTTCGCAATTCTGTATTAGCCTGTCATGGCGTATGTTACTTATATACATTTGGGGAAAGAGGAACCAACAGTAAACTTGTTAGTGCACTCTTCTCCGGCATCTAGAATTTTCGATCCACTGGTTCCCGCCAGAGTGAGGTAATGTGTGTAGACAGAAGTAGCCTGTGAGCCTGGGATTAACTCTTGCCTCACCCACAGTAATTAAAAGAACTGTAGCGATATGTTGTAGGAGTTAGGATTGAAATAGCCGCCCATCAGATTACATTTCCCCTTAGTCTTAGAGACACTTGCCGCTGCCCGGCCCACATTCATACTTGATTCTGAGAACCCCGCTACCTCAGGGAGAGAGATAAACAGCCCTTCTGAGTTTCTAAATCAAAGAAGGCATCCGGATTCCTAGGGGATTGTTTGGAGGACCTTGGACATGCTCAGACACATGGCTCTATCCAGTGCACACCTAAAGTGGCCCTCTTCCAACCTCCCCTCCACCTCAATTCCTGACTCCCACAGCCCATGCCCCCCACCCCTCTTGTGCCTTTTCCCCCAGACTTCAGGGCTGTCAGAAATTCTCCCCCTTCCTTAGGGCACCCGTATATTCCTGGCCTTAAATGATTCTGTGGCATCAGGGAACAATGTCAGTCCTTCTGTCCCTATTGTTGTATCCCAGGTTTTTCAGTAGGGAGGGGATGGAAGATCGATCCCACCTGCAAATCCATCTGCAGTTTTACATTATGGTAAATGATAGAAAAAAGGACATTGGAGACTTCTACTTTAAAACTGTATCCTTGCATTTTGAAAAACAGTTATATTTTATTCTTTAAATCCTTTTCCCTTTAATTTTTTAAAGTTTTATTTTCTTTACGTATTTTGCCTGCCTGTTAGTGCACCACATGCATGCCTGGTGCTCACAGAGGTCAGAAGAAGGTGTTGAATCCTCTGGAACTGGACTTAGACAATTGTGAGCCACCCCGTGGGTGCTGGAAATGAACTGATCCTCTCTCTTTAGGGCAGCAAGTGCTCTCTGTGGTACCTCTGTACAACCCCCCACTCTATCCCCTACAGACAAAGAGAAGCTTAAACCAGGATTCCTAAGTGTAGATAAGAACTTAGACCCCTTTTCCCCAGGTGGCTGTATCTGCTACAGGGACTTTGGAAACATAGTCAGGATATTCGACCAAAAGACTAAAAAGGGAGGCGGGTTAAAATAAATTATATGGTCTGTGCCTTTAAGAACTAGCCTCACAAAGAAAGGGGAGAGCTCCTTCCAACCTCCCTGCTGTGGGTGAGAGATTTGGAAGAGCCTCCCTGGAGGCTTGTAAACTTAGAAAACACCTTAC